CGCACAGCTTCATGCTGCCTTGTCACTCGTCACCAAGTATGGACCGTGAAGCTATAAAAATTGCAAATTGGAACGCTTGCTCACTAACGAACAAGCATAGAGAGCTACTCGATTTCCTCAACACCAAGGAGGTCGACATTGCTGTCATCACCGAGACGCATTTGAAACCCGAACTGAACATATTCCTTCCCGACTTTCGGCTTGTCAGACTTGATCGCACCTGCTCTGGAGGAAGAGGAGTGGCCATCGCTGCAAGACGTAACATCAGTTACCGGCTGCTACCAAACTTCCAGCTGAAAACAATTGAAGCCATCGGAGTGGAGGTGAGCACATCACTTGGCCCAATCACCATCATCGCGGTCTACTGCCCCAAGCAAACCAACATCAGGGACGGGTCGTCAGTGGCCCTCCGGAAAGACATCATCAAACTCACCCGGAGGAGCGGGAACTTCATTATCGCTGGCGATCTGAACGCAAAACACCAAGCTTGGGGCAACGGTCGGAGCAATAGAAACGGCATCATCCTCAATGAAGACCTGCAAGAGGGCCACTATACCATCTTGGCCCCGGACTCTCCCACCCGGTTGAGTCGGTCTGGGGTCCATGCGACCATCGACATCTTCGTAAGCAACATGGGACACAACATCTCGCAACCTGTGGCATTCCAGGAGCTGAGCTCGGACCACTACCCTGTGGTGGCCGAAGTTGGGTCCTCGGTTAACCGATTCGAAGCTTCCCGGCGCAACTACCATCGAGTCAACTGGGCGCAATATCAACACTGCGTCGACACAGCCATCGACTACGATGTCCAACCGGGGACGTCCGAAGATGTTGGCCGGTGTCTACAAACCATCGAGGAGGCGATTTCCCGGGCCAGGGAACAACACGTGCCAGTATCCAGACAGGTGAGTAACACTCTGAACCTTGACAGCCCTACCAAAGATCTCATTAGACTCCGTAACACCATTCGTAGGCAGTACCAGCGTACTGGCCTGCCTAACTTGAAGACCAATTCTAATCGATTAACAAAGATCATTCAGGCCAGGTTGGTGGATCTCAGAAATAACGATTTTGCTAGTAAGATCCGCTCTCTCCCAGATTGTGCTAAGCCCTTCTGGAAACTTACAAAAATTCTTAAAAACAAGCCTAGGCCCATTCCCCCACTGACCCCACTGGATCGTCCCGGCGACCCAGTGGTTCATCTGATAACTCCTGCTGAAGAGAAGGCTGCCGCGATAGGTCAACACTTCGTCAGCTCCCATAATCTCGGACAAAACATCATCAGCCCTCATGAATCTGAGGTTGCTGAAAATGCAACCAATCTTCTTCAGATTCCTAACATTTATCCAGAGGAATCCGAGATTACTGCTGACGAACTGTTGGCCTATATTAAATCATCTAAAAACATGAAGGCCCCAGGTTTCGACAACATCCTGAATCTGGAACTTAAACACTTGAGTTCCAGATTCTACAACCATCTGGCACTGATTTTTAATCAGTGCCTCAGACTTGGCTACTTCCCCTCGTGTTGGAAGTCAGCTAAAGTCATACCCATCCGGAAACCTGGGAAGGATCCGTCCTCTCCTTCAAGTTATCGACCAATCAGCCTTCTCTCAGGGTTGTCAAAACTGTTCGAAAGAGCAGTGTACCACCGGCTCCTAACATCTGCCGATGAAAACAACTTGTTACTCGAGGAACAGTTTGGTTTTCGGAGAGGTCGTTCGAGGATCCAGAACAAGATCCTTAGGATGGTCCTAAACAGTCCCCCGCGGACTAGAAATTCTGAGATCCACTTCCTGGCTGGAATTCAAACATTAGAAGAACGGAGAGTATTCATCCTGGAAAGGTTCAGAGACACCTGTCTGAGATCAAATCATCAGATCATACGTGATCTAGCACGTTAGGTTAAGTTATACTCGTAGTTAGGTAGGTTATCACTTTTTTCAATTCTAATAAAACACATCCCCAAAGGGATATTCTGTAAACTAGTCGAAAAACGCAAATATTAAATTAGAATATCAAATTAAACAAAGATGAAGAGCCAAGTAGGCTAATCAATTAAAATGATAAATCAATGTACTACCATAATCAACAGAAATAAACATAATTTTACTACTACTACTGCCTTCGCATTAGTTGCGATTCACCCGTTAAACCGTAAACAACCAGGAGGCATGACTGGTCGTTGCAAGGGTGGCAAAGGATTTGGTAAAGAAGTCGCCAAGTGTCATCGTGTGATAACATCCAGGGCCTGCCATCCGTCGTCTGCTCGACGTGGTGGTGTTAAGCTCATCTCCGGTCTGATGTTCGAGGAAACCCAAGGTGTGCCGAGAAAATGTGATCCGCGATGCCGTCACTAAAAACGCAGCTGCCTACACGTCATCATCATCTTCCAAAAGCTTTAAGCCTGTACTACCATCGGCCCTTTTCAGGACCACCAACATTTTCCAAAAGAGTTAATTTTCTGAACATGTTCCAACTAAAATTCATATCAAAAGGTTCTTTTTAGGGCAATCAATTTACTAAAGAGTATAAACAGAGAGAACCCCGCTAAAATTCCTATTCCTACACAAAACACAAGCTCCTGCTGCAGTTAACAAAAATATTTATTATATCATACCACGTAGTCCTACGTCATCATTGCGTACAACCCCATTGGGCTGTCCCTTGTAGTTTTTTTTAAGATTTCCTAAACAGATTTGTTGTTAATTTTGCATGTTACTGCAACTCAAAATTTCATTTTTAATGTTCAAATATTGAATTCTTTTTTTAGATTTTTGACATTAAAAATTAAGTTTATTCTGAGATTAGTTGAATTAGTGGCCAATTCGAGCTTACTATATTTTCACGGTAGGGTAATTATAAATTATGGGGACATGCGGTCATGCCTAGCTTACTCTTGCTACGTTCATGTCCTGTTAGACAATACTACTTACCATTCGAGTAGCTTTTAAGTGAATTAAATTAAAATAAAATTTCTAACAATTACAACCGTTTGATATTTTGAAAAATCAGGGAATACTGGAACATATTTAAAAAATCGTTAAATTATCGTTCTCTATCTGTGTATCTGGCAAGATGATAAAAATCTGGACAATCCAGATAAATCTGGAATACTGGAAACGCTGCCCATAGCACAAATCAGAATGCCAGTGATCAGGCTACTAGCAAATAATCCGTTCCCATATTCGTGAACGGGAGCCGTGAAAAATAGTTAGCATGAAATGTACCTTGATATTTTGTTTGGTGATATTGATTCCTCGATGTCGATATCACTGATGATTGTAATCCAAGCTGATTTTTTTCGTTCTTTTTTATATTCTTCCATTACTAATAACACAGTGACGGTAACGTGCTCTTCTCAAATTTCTTTCTCTTTGTGCAGTTCACAAAGTAACTTTTTCCTACATGATGATGCCATTGATTTGCGTGGGCAACTATCGGTTTGTGAGGAAAGGGCTTACAAAGTTTTGTTCACAAAAGCTGATAGGCCCTTTTCAATTGTTGGTCGAGGTAGTCTCTGGAATCAGGAAAATTTCGGAATTAAAGATGGAAGATGAGCAAATCCACACCCACTGAGGAATCGATGTTATTTATCTCTCTCTGAATTCCATGACACTTCCACCTAATTTTTCACTAGGGGCTATGAACCAAGAATTTGACCATTTTGACAACCACTTATTTTTTTAAAAATCGCGTATTGGACATTTTTCAATAAATCATAGCACGAAAACGGCTCATCTAATCGAAACGAAGTCTGAGACAAAGTTCTTAGAAAGTGGATTGACTTTTCGTCATAAAACTTCATTAAAAAAATAACATGTTAATGATTTATAAACTCATGTTTAGTTAAAACCTGCTAACTTTTCAGATATTGGACACAATGCACACTATAAAATTGACCAAAATCTTAAAACATCAACTTTTGGTATATGTTTTGAACTTTGTTTTTCACAAATCCAAAATGTATAGGGGATAAATCAAGTTCAGTCAAATGCAGATGAGTGAAGCGGTCCTACTGAATCAAATTGCATGTTCTGAGGAGTATCTTATCCCCGATTGACGTATTTGAGAGTGTATGCATTTCATTTTAACATTATCATTTGAAATGCATAAGTGTCACTCATTGTTTGCCAAAGCCTGCCGGAAGCATCTCCACGCTGTCAGCAATTTCTCAATTAAAACCAAAGGGATCAAATGTTGCAGTCTTGTGACCTAACACATTCGAATAATGTTAATTACAGGTCACCAACCTCGTCACAAAGCGCTACATTTTTTAATCTTTTTCAATAAGTACCGTACGGCACCTAACTTCAGTCAATTTTTAGATTTAGCTATTGATCCTAATGCCACGTAAGTATCATGGTGATCCTGTATCATCGTTCATGTTCAACTAACATTAATATTATGTTGCAAAGTGGATGTAATTTTTAATTAAATGTGAAATGTGCAAAAAATAAGCATTAGGTGAACTACGGTACTCTTCAACGTAGGCACTCTTACAAAAATATTACAAGGTAGCGTCCATGTGTGCAATTTAAATCACGGCGCTGAGAACACGGCACTTTCAGACGAAAAAGACAGCGCTGATAAGGTTTCCTTACAGTAGACAAAAACATAAATATAAGTCTAGGATTGTAGGTTGAGAACATGCTCTCTTCGAGCGTACTGTGGGAAAAAGAAATACAATTATAACTGCTGTGCATGTCGGAAGCTATATACTACAAAGTGCATTATGGTGAGCATGTACTGATTCTTATAATAGATGCTCAAATTTTCATTAAATAAAATCTCAAATGCAGTGTCATTATGCATAGGAATACATACATATAGTATGGTTAAGAGCTGAGACATGCTTGGGAGCAAACGTTACGATTTTTGGGACATCCCTACTGCAAGAAAATTCATATAACTTGACACTGAACATTATTAGTATGGAAAACCACCACCGTCGTCATTTGATCCGGGTATAAAAGCAAGTTTCCGCATTCGCGAAGGCTCATTTCGCAAACGAAACTTAACTGAAAAGTAATAATACAGTGTAAATTTCTATTCCCCAACCAACAAATTGTTTTTCGAACTCCGAACTATATTACATTTACAAAGTGAACCATTATTTCCGGGAAAACAATCATGACTATCACTCCGAACAACACCGCCCCTACCTGGTTCCAGTGGGCCTCAGAACAGGGCTCCTTTTGGGAAGCGGTATCTCGTGGAAGCAACCTTAGCAAACCTATTGGCCCTCTAGTGATGCTGAAAGAAGACGTCAGTGCAACCACAGGAAATGAATTAGTGTAATGGAAAATAATTGTGCTAATCAGCCGATAATCAGTGCGATACAGTGTCGAATTCTCTACTTATAGATCTGTTGAAAAAATGCTCTCTTCGGCCCAATTGGGACTTCTAACCGGAGTGCTGATGACACTCTTCTTTCGTCACAAGTTCAATCGAATGAAGGACGAACTGATCGAGTCCAAGGTGTACAAAAGCACCAAAAACCTCACGATGATTGACGTGCGACGATTCATGTTCATTATAATCACTTTCCTCGAGTTTGCTGTCCTATTTCCACTCTTTTTCTCCATATTTTACGGTTTCAAGTGCTACCGATCGGTGGTAGCATGTGTTCTGAAACGACGCCATGGCTCACATTTCAAGGGGCTTCTGGACGGAGTAGACGTGGTATGGGCCATTGAGCGGGACAACTCCCGTGGCATGATCAACATCATGGCATACATTGAAGAGCCCGTTGGCCTGCCAACTAGGAACTCAACCTGCGCTGAGCTGTTGCTGGTGCTAAGGAAACGCATATCCTCCCGGTTGATGAGATCGTATCAAGCTCATCCGAAAATGTTCTGGAAGCGAAACCTGGAACTGGGTTACTATTGGTGGAGTGACCTATCGGAGCTGACCATAGAGGATTACATCCGCTACTTGGAGTATGTTCCCCTAGGCAAGGGTGAGCAGTACATGAACGATCGGAAGCTACGCAGCATCATGAGCGACATCAACAACCGACATTTACCGGACGAACATAGCTCGTCGTGGGAAATCCTGGTCGGCAGACAGCCGCTGTTGGATAAGCAACGCAACATGCTGAGATATCCGGTTGGTATTTCAAAAATATGTGCATGCGTGAATTGTGAATTCTTAGTTTTTAAATCGATTTTTTGTTAAATTGTTGTTTAAATTGAAAATTATTTTATCTGTAAAAGTATGAAACATGCACGGCCAATGCGATCGACCCAAATTTGAGTTCAGTTTACTCATAAATCGAAAAAGTACAGAAACTCAGTGCTGAGTAAATTTTCTAGATTTTTTCCACTTTTTTCATGGGAAAAATTACCAAATATGAGGAAAGTCAAGATTAGATTCGTTCACCTCTTGACTGAGTAAATTTTTTGTCAATTCTCCTTATTTTTTTCAGATTTTTAGGTTTTCTACAGGAAAACATGAGGCAAATTTACTCATCGCTGAATTTTTTTTAGTTTTAGCGATTTATGAGTAAACTTTTTCTTTTCTATTTAACGTTGATGTTCCGAAATCTAGTGCCAATCATCGACGGACATCGATTGCCGTCATTGGATGGCAGTCGAAAGTGCAGAAAGGCAGCTTCGACACCTTCGGGACCAACGGCTTACTTCCCTTCAGAAGAAAGACGTGACCAGAGATTTTTATGCCTCAGAAAAATCCCACCGACCTCGGCTGGGATTGAACCCAGACCCATTGGGGTGAGAAAGCAGTCATGCTTACCACTATACCACCGGCGCCAGCTAATTTATGAGTAAAGTGAACTCAAATTTGGATTGATCTCATTGGCCGTGTCGGCGTTGAGTTCAGTAATGCTATAGGTTTTTAGAATTTATATTTATTTCATCAATCTTCAACATTTATTAAACTCTAAGAGCACAACAATCTATCCAATGCCTATGATTAACCTATTGAAATTCTAGGTTTAAAAATAGACGATTTTTTTATTTGTGCTGCAGAATTATGCTTTTTCTATCAAAACTTGAATCCACATGCACCATTTCAGCATGCCACACTGCACATCGACACACCCCCTTTAAACCCGTCTTCTGACAGCCCAGTACAATTTAACTCATGAGAAAAGAAATTGATTGATTTATCTTTATTAGGGAGACTTTCAGCCTGGGGCTGGTTCGCCTCCACGTGAGAAAAGAATTGGATGCTTGAATGCTGAAGATAGCTGTTTGTCTTCGTTGTTTTTGACACGGAAATGGGTCCCTTATGCCAAGGTAGGGCTCCACCCTATTTAGAACCATTGATCTTCAACCAGCGTTGCCAGATTGTTTTCAAGCTTATCGGCATCTAAAGTTTAAAGAATTGAATTTATCAGTATTTACTTTTTTAATTGATTTCATATGTTGTGGCATTTTTGACGGCGAAAATGCAAGCTTTTTGACTAAGAACGGTTAACTAACTTTCCAATAGAAATCTGAAGAAATTTCCAGGAAATGCTTGAATTAACTTCTGAAAGAAGGCAAACAAACATCCATTGAAAGAATAACGAAACTTTTCTGGAGGAAGTTTGAGGAAATTTGAAGAAAAGTCGGAAAAACATCCGGGGATCTTCCAAGACAAATACTGAGAAACTTGTGCTGAAAATTTAAAGCAACTTTCGGAAAAAACGGATGACACATTCAGAGGAAGCCAGAAAACATTCGGAAATCGGAGGCAGATTCCAGGTGTAGCAATTTCCAGGAAAAGTCAGAAGAAGTTCGGAATGGAGAAACTTCCAGTGCACAGTGGTCCAGAATGCAGATTTAGGTGGAATGATATGTTTTGAGCCTGAAATTGAAACTTTAGACTAAAAGTCTCTTCTACAAAGTTGTTTCGTATAGTTAGGCCCTCATTTTTATGACACTTAATTCTAGGGTGGTTCCTATTATCATTAAAATCCAAAATCTAACCTTTTTTTTTGAATAAATTAAGGTATACATTCTTGGGACAAGCTTTGTGCAGCAAAAATTTGCACCTTCAAAAAGTTATTTGAAGACACTTTTGCTGAGAAATTTGAAATAAGAAAACTAGAGCAAAAAAAACTATTTTTTTAAGAGCCACCCTAACTCAATTCAAGAAAATAGCTCTAAATCGGCCAATTTAAGAGATACAAAAAAGTTATTTTCAACAAAGTTGCTTGAAATTAGCTCAGCTATAACTTTGCCCAAGAATGTATACCTTAATTTATTCAAACAAAAAAGTGAGATTTTTAATTTTAATTATAATAGGAACCACCGTAGAGTTAATTGTCATAAAAATTAGGGCCTAACTAAAAGGAACAACTTTGTACAAGAAACTTTTAGTCTAAAGTTTCAATTTCAGGCTCAAAACATATCATTCCACCTAAATCTGCATTCTGGACAAAACAAACTTGAAGATGGAAGAAACTTCCAGAAAAAGACGGAAGAAACTTTCTAACGCACATTGGAAGAAACTTCTGTGGAAAGTTGGAAGCCAGAAGGAGAAGTTTTGGGAAAATTCCGATAGAAAGAGAATTCTGGGAGATGTTACCACAACTTTCCCTGAAGTTCCTTACGTGTTCCTGATATTCATTAAACATCCCTCAACATTCCGCGGAACTCTTTGAAAGTTCTGCTTTCCCTTGATTTGTTTTCCGTCGATCTTGTTTTCCGTACTGAGTGCTACCGACGAGCAATGGCCAGAGCCCCGAAATCAAGTTTTTATTTTTGATATTTTATATTTTTCTAGGTTTTCCATACATTTAATAACAATTTCTCAAATTTTCGTGATTATTGGATGAGTTTTCAATTTTCGGCAACACTATGAACGGTGCTAAGTCAGCTAATTTTGAAGATTCGTATGTTCAAAAACCAAATATTTAAGGCTCACTTAAAATACCTGTTACACATTCAATTTTGAATCAATTTGATCACAATAGGTTTTATTCTGAAAGGGAGTAAAAAACATAATATGTTCATGTTAATAAACGTTGCTCATAACTCATAAATAAATGTTAATGATATAGTGGTATGAAACATCAATATTCTTTTTGTGTCAATATTGATTTGGATGAAACAGGTTTCAATCTATCAGGAATTTATTCTAGTTTTATAAATTTTTTTAGGTTATGGATACATTTGGTTCTATGTAAAAAATATTTCAAAATTTCTTGTGTTGCTAAGCAATACGTATAAAGGCGAAATGGATGTAATGCCGGCCTAAATGCCCTTAATTTGTGCCCATACATAAATTCAGCAATCGACTAAATTTTCAATAGCGGCCAAAAATATCCATTAGTGACGCAATGACGTATTCATCTTCATAAAATTGAAAAATAGCAGATTTTTAGCGATGGGCTCAATCTTAGATCCATAGGCCAATATTAGAGCCATTCCCCCTATTACATATGTTTAATACTAACGGCGCCGGTGGTGTAGTAGTGAGCGTGATTACCTCTCACCCCAGCAGGCCTGGGTTCAATCCCAGTCGGCGCCGCCGGGATGTTCTGAGGCATAACATCTCTGATCACGCCTTCCTTCGGATGGGAAGTAAAGCTGTTGGTCCCCGGTTCATGAGTTGGTGGGTCGATAGGTAGGGTCCAGGTGTGGGAGCTGCCTTCCTGGCGTCGGTAGCATTGGTGCTCAGCACGGAAAACAAGATCGACGGAAAAAAACAAACCAAAGGAACATATGTTTAATACTCAGCAAGAATTACGATCAACCATTACAAAATTAAAAAATTGAACCAATTCCTGATCGATTGAAATCTGTTTCACCTAAACCGGTCAAAAATTGATGAAATGGTAGTTAAATCTATTGTTTTAGCCAGAAAAGCTTAGCTACGCATGTGTTGATAAAAAAATTCCTATATGGAGAAGCATGGTGATTAGTATATAAAACATGTTCAAGAAGTTTGAAGGGGTTGCAATAATTTAGTAGCTAAGTAGAATTGGTAAGACTTTTTCGGTGGATTATTTTTAATACAGCGTTTTTCATGGACGTTAACTTTTTGGATTTGCTTAAGATGATTTCGATGGAACTATTTTTTTTTTCGATTTCCCAAAATGTTATTTTTTATAGTGTGTAACACAGAGTCATTATCCTAACTACATAATTATCATCTTCACTATAGACTTAACAATCCTGAATTTTTTTTTGATTAGGGACTGTTCACAAACAACGTTGAAATTTGTTTAAAGATGCAAGAATTGTTTGCCTTTTCTACCGCTCCATAGATAATCATCAATACAAATCTTTAAACAAATAATGGGCCATGTACACTCGAACATCCCCAATCATACATTCCTCACGTCATATATGAATGGCCACTAACGATAAAAATAACTTGTCTTAATCCGTTTTCCTTTTAAATAAGCTCTGCCTGTTAATACTCCATTCCCGAGTAAAACATCTCATAAATGGTCAGTATGAGTTTTAACGAAACAAAACCGATTATTTGTTATTATATTAGTTATTTTTGTGATGTTCTGGGCAATGAATTTAGCAACCTAAATTAACAGAAAAATATTATGAATTAATATAGCTTAACAAATAATCAATCAATGGTTTCACAGCTATCAGAAAGATAAGATCACACTTTAGGGGAAATTGATTGAAGTTCAATTTTTTATGACTTCCGACGTGAACAATGGAATCAGCATCCCAAAATTTACAAAATTTAGGTTTTGTCCGTCTTTTGTATGGAGGCCCACCACTGTGCGACGCCAGGGAGGCAGCTCCCACACCTGGACCATTGCCCTATCGACCCATCACAACTCATGGACCGGAGACTAATGGCTTTACTTCCCTTCCGAAGGAAGGTGTGATCAGATATGTTATAGGGTAAATGATGGCTTCGGCAGCCATCGACTGTTTTCGGCAACCACAATTAAAACGTTAATTCCGATGTATTTTCTCACTAAAACACTTCGCTGAATGTATTTAAACGGTTCCTTAGTCTTTCAGCTTCAATCCTAATACATTTTTACGACTGAGCAAACCTGTTATGCCAGGTCTTTCTTCAAAAGAAACATAAGTACATCAAAATACGACTGATTTCGAGTTGCCGATAATAGAACAGCTGGTTAACACGCAGTTTAAACGGAAAGGTTGCCGAAGTAAAAGAGGCTGCCGACAATAGTCACACTCACCTGAGAAGTTTGGAGCGCCTTAAAAACGTTTTCAAACCGTTTTGGACAGTTTTGTTGATTGGAACGGATAAAATTGCTAGCAGCAGATGAATGTAAACAAACAGACACGTCATATGTGTGCGTGACACTGAGAAAATGCTAATATAAGTGCGGAAGCTGCTTAGATTGACGAGAATACGTAAATTCCCCTACCTCAGAAAATCCCGGCGGCGCCGACTGGGATTGAACCCAGGCCTTTTAGAGTGAGAGGCAATCACGATTATCACTACACCAACGTCACCGTTAAAATTTTTGCTAGTTTCCTGAAGTTAATGGGCTCTTTTGAAGTTCTCTAATCATCCTCGAAGTTCTCGGAACTTCCCTGATTATAATGAAACTACCGGGAAATCTCTAATCTTTTATGAAGGTATTTGGACTTTCTTGAAGATTTCGGAACTTCTTACACGAAACGAAAATTAATTATTTTATTCATAAACACATGTTTCAGTTATACATTTTTTGCCAAAACGTCAGCTTTATACATTCCGTAAGACAAAACACATAGGTCCTATAAGAATGCATAAACGATATGTGTGACCATTTATACATTTCAATTGACACATGATCTTCATTAACTTTTTTTAGGGCGTCTGCTTATTAGTTGAAATTATATGCAGTGTTGGCAAAATCATCAATAAAATGATATTTTTCCGCTCTCGTACGCTCTCAATATCACGCGTGATACTGGAACAAAATATCATGCTTGATATTCATTTTACAAGCTCCTTTGATATTGCAAGACTATTCCCAACGTGCAAAAATCAAGTTGAGAATTGACTCGACAGAAAAATGATACCGTTGCACATCGTTTTCTTAGAAAGAGAAAGTATAGCTTGCTATCTCTTTTTATTCTTCACCGATGGCAGACACGAAGTGACTGCTGCCAGCCGTTATGGAAGTTTTAGTTGCGTTCGGGTGTAAAGCAAAAATCATGAAACTCAATCTAACCACAGTTTGTTGATATTTGCAGCTGGTGGGTTTTGTTATCTTGATATTCCGACCTGCGATATCACAGCTTGCAAAGTCAACCGCGGTGTTTTGATGGTTGATTTCTGTCTGCGAAAATCAAGCGTGATCTTGGGCATTGGTGAGATTTGATTTTTTGATACTTTCCCAACACTGATTATATGAATAATCAGCAATAGAAATTTGCCAAATAATAATAAGGAGAGTCCTATCCTATCCTATCAGCATTGAAGTTTCCTGATCTTCCTATTGTTTTCTACCTATCCTTAAGTTTTTGGAAATTCACTGAGTTTCTCGGTAATACTTTAACGTTTCAGAAATCTCCTTGAAATTATTTGATCTGATATAAAGTTCTCTCAATTCTCCTGAATCTAATGGAACTATCCAAAAACCCCTATTAAATGTCCCGGAAGTTCTTTGGACTTGTGAAAAAATATTTCTGATGTTTCCTGGAGTTCACTGGACTTTCCTGAAATTCCCGGGTTCTCGAATTTTGACAGAGGTTAATGGCTTAATTTATCGGAATTTACCCCTACAAATATTTAAACTTACCCAAAAGTCTAGACTTTTATGAAGTTTCACAACTTATTAAAAGTTTCTGCAGTTTTCTTGAAATTAGTGGAACCGCAATAAAACTTTGGAATCAACCCTGACGTTTCCGGGAAGTTGAAAAAAAAAACTGGTGGGAGAGGATGGCAGAACCTTTCGAGCGAAGCCAGGAAAAGCTTCCAAGGGAAATCTGAACAGCTTTCCGATTGGAATCGGAAAATAACTTACGGGGTAAGGTGGAAGCAAATATAGATTAAATAAAATTCAGGAAGTTATAAAATTGAACATTTTGATAGACCTATTTGTTCACTGAATAAAAGTATTTCCCGATTCCCAGGAATTACCGGGATGAGCCATCAGTTGTTTTTCGATTCCTGGGTAGCAAAAACGGTGAGGAAGTGGAAACATTAGGCTAAGCATTAGATATTGTTACAGATGAATTATTGTTTGACTCACAATAGTTCCCTCTGACAGTTTAGCGGGGCAGGCAATAGTTTTGATTATTAAATAAAATCGGTACAAATCGGTATAAAATATCAAAAATCGATATTCTGAGAAACCTTATACAAGTTCGAAAATTGGTATAAAAACAGCCCTTTCCGCATAAAGCAAAGGCCGCCCACGCAAACGAACACCATCATCGTGTAGGGGAAACTTTCCCCTATCCGATGATAGTGTTGGTTTGCATGGGTGGCCTTCGCTTTGTGAGGAAAGGGATTTAGAACGGTTTGTTTACAAATGCTGATGGGCCCTTTTCTATTGTTGATCCAGAATTGGTATATCTGGCAACGCTGTCTTCAACACAATCTAAGAAAAATGATCCTTGTGTACCATTTTCTACCCCCTTCCCAACTGGTAAACTGCTGGATTAGATACATTAGAATACATTTTAGCTATGGGATAGGATGTTTTCTCGAAGATTTGAGGAATGGAATTTTTATAATTAACATTTCAGACATGAGAAAATTTAAATTTGCGAACATAAGATTCTTTAATTTAGGCAAATTCTGAAGATGTAGGACCTAGAAAACAATCCAAAATCTGGACATAAGAAAATTTTCAAGGCTCTTGGACGGGGGAAAAAGACCAGAACTTCCAAGGAAAATTGAACAGGGATTGTGACAAAATGACTGTAAAGAGAATTCCAACCAAATTTTTAAGAAACTTCTGAAGAGAATTCGAAACCCGGGAGAATTCTAAGAACGTTTAGAGCAAAATTCCTACACGAATAGATATCCCCTTATACTTTTTGGCAAATTTCTATTGCGGATTATTCATAAAATGTATAGGTCAACTAATAAGCTGGAATAAGATGGAATAGAGTTTATGTTTAAGCTTATTAAAGTTACGTTAAAAAAAGTAGATTTTAATTCTAGTAATTAGAATTGTATTTGTTTTTGCGTTGTAAAAATGAAATGAGAAATGCTCACTGCACATCTCGGACTTTAAGTGTAAAAATTCATTGGTGTTGATTCAAATGTTAAGCTTTACCTACTTTTTGCATATCTACACACTTAGATTTTTTCGCCGAGATGGGCACCACCGAGCAGCTCGGCATTTTATTCTGCTGGTTCTCAGTGAAAAACTTGCCGAGATTCAGCTAACAAACGGGAATTTTGCCGAGATCTCAGCTAACAAACATATTTTTTGATGAATTTCCAGCAAAATAAAATGCCGAGCTGCTCGGTGGTGCCCATCTCGGCAAAAAATCTAAGTGTGTATTAGACCGGCCCACAAAAATAAAAGTTCTAATTTTCTACTGGCCAACTCTTAGGTTTGGGCCTTTAGGTGAGAAAGCCATTATCCGAAAGTTTCAGCTCATTTGGTTCTAAGATGAGCTGGCGCTTTTAGTTTGAATTTTGTATGGGGAATTTGGATAGAATATATGAAAAAATGACACCCCTACAAATGAGCAGTTGGTGTGTACAACTGTGCATGCCAAGCATGCCTCCATGGATAATTTTACGTCACATTGGTTTACTGACACATTCTACGTGACGTTACGGATTTTCACTATTTAAAAAAAAATGTACTGTTACTAAAAATATAAAAGTAATCCCTAAATCAAGAGCCACATTAGAAAAGGGCATACAAGCTATTTGTAAACAAACCTTTGTAGGTCCTTTTATCACCAACCGAGGGTCACCAACGCAAACCAACAACATCATCGGGAGGGAGAAAGCTTCCCCTTACCGGTGATGTTGATAGTTTGCGTTGGTGGCATATGGGTGGCGAGAAAAGGGCGTATGAAGGTTTGTTTACAAAAAGCTTGTATGCCCTTTTCATATGTTGTTCTTGAAATATTATTGCAGATTTAGAAAAGCGCGTTAAATTTCCTATACGAATAGATCAAGAGTTTTTGATTTGAGAAGCTCACAACGCAAGACATTGTAACGTCACGCAACATTTTGAGCTACCCAAACCATAAACTCTTGATAAATTATATAGGAAATTTATCACACTTTCCAAATCTGAAACAATGGTTGAGAGTTACTATACACTTTGGTCAGGTACGGTGCAAAAACTGTTAAAAAGTCAGGCAGACACGTGGATACATCCTGGTGGAATGTGCCTATAGCATAAGCATGCTGAAACTTAATTCAATTAGACACACCCACTGCAGCATAATTAAGATAACACTCAATCCAGAAACGCAATATGTTTACGTTTTACTTAATATTGCGCATTGCAGATCATCTTCCGCGTGCACCATTCTCTGGGAGATGGCGTCGCTCTGCTTCGCCTATTGCTGGAAGGAATCGTCGACAAGGAAGTACCCTCCCGTTGGAAGCGGCTCTCCAATATCAAAATGATGAACATTGAACACATTCTCTTGGAGAAATCACTACTCTCGATGCCGAAGAAAAGCCTTACGGCGAAATTTATCGAAAAATTCCCCACTCCCCGAAAAATTTACGAATGGAAACAGAAACATCTACGCCTGATTTGGACCATCTTTACCGCTCCGGCATTCTTCCACGAGGTGGTTCAGCGAAAGGTCGACGAAAATTGCATCCACGCAAGTGAGTTGTCGAACCGAAAAGTGGTCAGCTGGATTCACGAAGAGGAAACGAGTGGCACCCGGTGGGTAGAGATCATCAAACGAACGAAACAGCAAGTCCCAGGGGCTAGGTTCTCCGATGCGTTCCTGACGGCCCTGTCCAGCAGTCTGCAGAAATATTTCAACCAAAAATCCGATGAAATTCCGAGTAATATCACCGTTGTACTACCAACTCGAATTGAGAGAGAATGTAAGACTTTGATTGTTTTAGTTAAACTGAATCATCAACTGATTTCAATTTTCAGCTCCCCAGTTGAAACTACATAACCGCTTCTCGGTGGCTCTTCAAACTTTACCGATCGCTTCAGGAGTCGATCTTCAGGAACCCAACCGCATGCAAAGCCTTCTCAACCGCCTGAGTGATGTAAAGCAGCACTCGGATGTTCTGAGGTCTTCGCCAGACTACTTGGTAGGTCACGATGAATTTTCAATTTCCCCTGATAACGTCAGAACTTCCTCAGATCAACTACTGGATCATGTCAACGGTGGCATGTCTGTTCCCAGATCCAATCCTGCGTAAGATCCTGACAAGCGCACACAGCACCTTGGCGATATCGAACCTTCCGGGACCACAGCAGAAACCGCGCATCAACGGTCACGAACTAAAGAACCTCAGCTTCTGGATACCGAACATTGGTCAAACGGCCGTTGGCCTAACGGTGCTCACTTACGGTGGACGGTTGCAGCTGGGAATCCTTGCCGATCGGGCAGTGATCGATAATGAAGACGATGCTCACTCGATTCTAGTTGAGACGATTGCCGAAATCGAGCGGATGGGAGTGGTGCTAGATGAGGCTTGAAGTCATCCTCCGGTAATTGGTGAACATTGAAATTATAAGACTGTCACGAATGTTGAAATGATCGAATAAATTTTACTTACACTTTTGGTTAAATATTGGTTTTGATCCGTATAGAATGAGCGATCAAATGTTCAGGAATTATTCTTGATTACTTATTTACTTGCTTGCTTATAAACATAAATTCCTTTAATTTTCTCACATTTATTTTTTACATTATTCCAAATAAATCCCTATTGAACAGCGTTTCTTAATCAATGCGTCGTCACGCCCCACAGATGGTTCGCGAGCTGGGTCATTTTTTGTATAGAATCCATATAGGTATTCATTTGTATGGAGAAATTTCTAAAAGCGTAGGTTACTCATACGTTGAGTGACCTTCGCTTTTAGAAATTTCTCAATAAGAAATGAATAAAAGAAATTCAAAACTGAGTAAAAATGAAACAATTTCTGATGAAGTACCGTTTTCAGTGTCGCTCAAAATTCGTTTAATATGATTCGTTTTCAGCGAAAGTAACATTTCTCGTATGCAACATTTGCTTCAGCTATTCACCGCTAGGGAAGCACATGTTGTTGTTACGTGGTGCTGCTAGGTGGCATGGTGGTTCATTCTACATACTCCCAAAAATTATCTTGTAGTTGAAATGCTTTATTGAAATATAGGTATTTTCATCGATCAATTATTTTCCCATAACCGCATCCATTCGTTCGATCTCACGCAGAACCTCCTGCAACAGTTCCGTTGCGTCATCAACTGCTGGAAGCACATTTCGATCGGCCAGCAGCGACAGTTGCAGTTGATTGCCGTAGACAAACACTGAAAAGTTCAGGCCCACCGTTCCGAATGTCGGTGGCCAGAAGATTAGATCCTTTAGTTCGTACGGTCCCACCTTAAGAGTTTCTTTCAAAACAGCCATGACGGACACCGAAGCGGTGATGCGAAACATTTTCGATAGATACTCCAGAATGGGCACCGGAAAGGTCGCTGCCAAGATTATTACCGTTAGGTAATTGACCTATGAGAAGAGAATCTATCAGTAATTTGAAGGGAAAGAGGTTTGAAGAGCTTGTTTACCAGTATATTGGTGGAAGATTTCAGCGTTTCAGTAGCCTGCTTAATTGCAGCCAACTTGTTGATCAATTTGTGATGTCTACCAGTATCGTCCAGGTGTACACCCGGTTTAATCGGAAGTTGCACCATCGGAGTAGTGAATGCATTTTCCAACTTAAGCATGGGTTCTGTGGTAGTTTGAAATCGTCTTCTAATTAACCTGTTTAAGAATTTGCCATATTGGACCAACCTTGATGTTTAATTCGGACGGGTATGGCGATGGTCACTTGTTTGGGGTGCTCTCCTCTTGCGTCGAAATATTTGTGAAGCGTACCGGAAAGGGCCGTTATGAACACGCTGGAGTATGCGACACCCAGTTGGTTGGTTTGAATTTTCTCTATCAATGGAAGCCAATGGCAAGTTGTTGAGATTGATTTTTCATTTTGCCATGTAACCACCTTGTTTGGAGTTAAAACCTTCCCGTTCAGGCAATTCGGGTCCGATTTCATCTGCAGTGTGCGGATAAGTTGCAGTGGACATTCGTAAATTGCTTTCAACCAGATTAGGATAGTTTTGATCAGTTTGGGTTTTTCCTGGGCTTTCGGCGAAAACGTCCACATTTCAGTTGGATTCATGATTTCCTCCATAATGAACCGGAGCATGGCAACTCCATCTCCCATCGAATGATGAAATCGCAGAAAAATCTAGAAGCAAGCGTAAATGTAGATTCAGATTTCAATGCATTGATAGCATTTCAACAAATACTTACGGGGAATTTATGAACAGTTCCATGTTCGTTCAGCATGGGCTTAGCTGATATCAACATTTCCCACAATGCTCCATGCTTGACCGGTAGATTAGCAGTAGTTATCCAGCTTGCGAGTTTTTGCAGTTCAGTTTCGCTGAGATAAGTTTTCGAGGATTTTGGTTCTAGAAGCCGTATGTGATCACTTAAATTAATTCCAAGATCATTCGTCCAGTAGAAGTAGCCAAAAGCACGATTTCTCTTCAAGAATGCTTTTTGAAACTGATGCATTTTGGTGGAAATAAGTTTCTCGAATCGATTGACAAAAACTTTCCTTAGTTTCTGAGGCAAATCTTCCACTCCATTCACTACACTGTTTTCCACAAACGCCACAATGTTGACTACTCCACAATTCTTATCCTCTTCCAAACCCCACATTGCATCTTGACCTTCCAACATTCCGACGAAACTATCTCCATGCTTGCATTGAAGAAACCACGAAAGTACTATGCGATATACCCAGAACACCAAAGCTACTACACAAATGATGGGTACAATTGGGATAAATGCCAAAAATGCAACAAAACGCTTCATTTCCAATGATTTGATACTCGTTCGCCGTCAGAACGTGGACTGCGCGGTAGCTCGGCGCGCGTGCAACTGCATCTGAGTTAGCCAGGTCATAAAATTGTGTAAGAGCCGAACGAGGAGATAATGGGGCTTTTCATATCGCTATCATAAAATCCCTCCAATTCAACGTTGCAAATGACTCCGTGCTCCCCTAATCGGAAAGTGTTTTTTTTCCACGGTGTCGTCGTCCTCGTTATTTTCGGTAATGGATTACTTACACATACTACGACGACAGAATTATCACAAACTCGTCTTACGTTGCAAATTGCAAAAAAAATGGCTGGTAGGTGTGTTAAGTGTGTATTGTTCCAGTTTTGTGTGACCTTGAAGGAAGTTAGGTTATATTTTTCTCTCGGTTATCACAAAATTCACGTAGGTTAGTGATCACAAAATGCTTCTCTGAAATTGACAAAGTCATTAAAGTTGTTCTTGTTGTTTGATTTATAACAACCACTTTTTTGCATATTTGGTCATTTGTAAGCAAGGTGCCTGGCATCCAGTTGGCTATTAAAGTCCGTTTTTCAGAATTTAGAAATCAAAAGATATTATGATGATGCTTTGTACTTGTATGTTACAAGATGAGGTTACGTCTTTTACCGGAAGAGAACTAATATACCGGTCGGTTCTGGAATTTGATACGGGATCGACGTTAAACATGCTCTCGTCGGTGAACAGGATTACTGGATTTTTTCGCTTAAGAAAGTCATGATTTTCTTGCATCGTTCGACTCGTAGCTCTCGGATGCGGTTGGTAATCATGTGAGTTTTTTTTCCGTGCCCTCAACTTCGCCCCGCAATCTTCCTTTACGATCTTCCGTGCCGTCAAGTCACTGATCGCGTGTTCCTTTGCCATTTTCCTTATTGAACGCACTGGATTCACCCGAATCTTCCTTTTGATAGCAGCGCTAACCCTCGGAACCCGAGCTGACCTCGGACGACCTGTGGCCACCTTCGTGGATAGTTGTCCTTTGTTTTCTCGGTCTAAAACCCTTTTGACGGTCCACCGGGACACTCCCACGGCGATTGAAATGTCTTTTTGCGACATTTGCGCGTGCGACAAATCACGAATACGCTGCCACTTCATCATGGTGCAACTGTCAAACTAAGTAAATTATTTTCTTTTATACACAGCCTACTACTCTCTTTATAAATTCAGGCTCTTTAGGTATGAGCTATACACGCTCCTTCAATGTTACTCAAAAGTGAGTAAAAATCTACTCTCTTTCGGTAAAACTGGAACTACTCTAAATTGAGTAAACCTATAGTTACTCACTTTTGAGTAATGCTAGCATTTGTCAAAATCAGAGTAACTTGTACTCTGTTCTGATTAGCAGTAAAAAAGCATATCTGAGTAAATGTTACTCAGTTCATATAAAATTGAGCGTTTTTCGAAATGAGTAATTAATTCATTTTATATTGATAAAATATGAAAAATTAAAACGATAGAACATACAATTTTATTAAAATATAAAAGAGGAGACGTACATTTATATTTAAAAAACAATGTTTTCGGTGTCTTATGTGGCTTCTCTAAATGCAACGACGAGGCTGGTGACCGACGCTCTTCAGCGATATCTAAAAATGTTGCATGGCATTATCATGGCAATATGAGTGAGCACAGGGATCCCAATAACCTTCAGAAAACGCTGATGTTCCATCTGCATTTCTATGCTGTCCACTACGTCCGATGTAACATCCCACATCAACATTTCCTAGATAGGCCTATTGTTTTTTGATAGTATTGAATAAGGTGCTTTTATTTTCAAATACTTCATTTTTCTTACCTTTCCAATTTACGAAACGAATCCTTATCTACCTCTGCAGCCACTTGATTCATTCCTTTATTCTAAATCTTCAAAACTTCAAAGGGAAATCGGAAGTTTAATCACCAACAAAAATTTTCACTTTTGTTACAAGTATTTGACATAAGCATGGTGAGTAACATTTGTGCAGGATTACTCAGAAATGAGTAAACAATGTTTTTAGATAAACAGAGGAGAAGTTACTCACTTTGCTAAATCAATGTTACTCAGATTTTGACATTTTGTACAAAAATACCAAACTGAGTAGAAGTTACTCACTTTTGAGTAACATTGAGCGAGCGTGTAGGTTACGTGCATGCAAAGAAAGCCAAGGCATTGTATGCACAGGTGAAACGGGAACCTTATTTGTACGATGGTGCAAACATTATCACGCATACGGTAGGTAGAAATAAATAGCTGCCAATTATTGGTTTAGCTGCGCCGGTGGTGTAGTGGTAAGCGTTATTACCTCTCACCCCAGAAGGCCTGGGTTCAATCCCAGTCGGCGCCACCGGGATGTTCTGAGGCATAACATCTCTGATCATGCCTTCCTTCGGAAAGGAAGTAAAGCCGTTGGTCCCCGGTTCATGAGTTGATGGGTCGATGAGGTAGGGTCCAGGTGTGGGAGCTGCCTCCCTGGCGTCGGTTGGTGCTCAGCAATGACAATGAGTAAAATTCCAGCTGAAACTGAACAGATGCGTAAGTGAATTTGTTTTGAAAATTAAAATTATGGCAATGATGTCATTCACAATGATTGTGGGACCTTCCTCGATCATTAATTTGCAATCTCAGAAATATATTCCACTTTTCCTAAGCCCTTTAGTGATGCATGTATGGGCATCCGTATGGTTCATTAGTAAAATGCATGTCCGCCGTTTCGCACGGCTTTGGCACCTGGCCACAGCGGGGGTAGTTAAGTTGTGACGCTCGGCAACTTGGCACAGTACTCGCTGACCATTTGAATGTCACAGGCCAATCAGACACAGTTGTTATCATTCTCTGGAAGGGGTCGGTCGATTCAAAGAATTGTTAAAGCAATAAGAGGACCACTGGTCCGGTGGTTTCATGTTCTGACAACATTTTAAATGGAAATATATTCTTTATCAATACGTACCGTTTGGGATTGCAGTCCTTCAACCTTTCATTTTCATTTTCTCCAACAATAGATCCTGCTACGCCTTCCGTTGGATCGTGATGTAGGTACCGGATCTTTCTTTTTTTGAAACCTTGAATTTTCAGCAGCTTCCGAATGACGGTAGTTACCTCAATGGTGATGGAAACTGCCAATTCCTTATAATTGATTGCTTCCAACAGGCAAAATAAACAATATTTCAGTTCCTCGTTCACAAGTAAAAGTTACTTTCACTAGGTATCGATCCGAGTTTCAATCCTCTACTTGATCCACCATGACAAGTTTTTTTGGTTTGGAGTTGGAAAACCACCTGGGATTGGGATACAAATTGCTTTTAAATTTTGTAGAGCAAAACAAGAACAAAAACGAATACCGTAAAACGGGGTAACATTGATAGTTTTTTAAAGTATATTCTAAATATTTTTTACAGCAATGAATGTTTTTCAAAATTAATATTTTTAAAACAAGTACTGAGGATCCAAGAGTGAATTCGTTAGTAATATGTTGAACAAAAATTAAAGCATTTGTTCTATTTTTTTAGTTTTGTGACCGAACTTCAGTATTTTGATTTGGGGTTACTTTGATAATGCTCGATGAATGTAGAAAAAAAAATGAGTGAAACTCAAACAATTTAGTTCTTTAAATATGAAACTTTGAATGGGTAAAACTTCATAAGCAATAAGAATACAACATTGAATTTGTGATGGCTGTGAAAAGAAATTGATCGAAAGTGTACCAAAAGTGCTTCTGAACGTGTTTCGCAGTTGGGAGTGGTGAAATTCGTAAATTCGCGGTTTATGCTCAGTGAAAATTCCGTATCACAAAATTGCTCACCGAGTTCCCTTTTTTTGCCGTTCGACGATGACGGGCATGCGAGAGAAAAATAAGCATCGGGAATGTGCTTCCGGATGTATTGATTTGGTGAGTACGTTCCAGTTGAAGATTGTTCTTATACATATCTCGATTGCATTTTCGAGGGGACGTCCGGAGAGCTTTGATATTTAGGAGTTGTTGCTTTTGCGGGCAGACGAGTTGGTCGCTGGTAAGGGCCAGTAAGTGCTGCCAGCAGATGAATCAAGAGGTATTCGAAACAAAATTGGTAAGAAATGTCCATTCAAATCAATTTAATACAGTTGATTAAATATAAAAACTATATACGTGCCAGATTTGGAAATAATATTTTTTGAATCTGGAAGTGTGTTTATGATACCATTATCCATTTGATAAAGGTAGAGTTAACATGCGGGGCTTATTGTAAGTAAAAGTGACCTCGGAGTGGTCGTGAATTACCAGGCATTCTGAAATGGGTCACTGGAGCTGCAATAGAGCTAACACCTTCTAACTCCCGGACTAAACCTGCTTTAATTTAAGGGTAATAAAAAGCAGTTTTCTTCCATAATAACACTGCCGGACAGTGGGGGTTAGATTGTACACACACACACACACACACACACACACACACACACACACACACACACACACACACACACACACACACACACACACACACACACACACACACACACACACACACACAATATTGAATTTGTGATGGCTGTATCGGAAATACATTTCATAAGCGAAAATGGTTTTTTAATATTTTTGTAAAATATGTAACACATACTATATAAAAACGATAAACAATATCAACGGAAATACCATAAGCTACAATATGGAACCAATGTTTCTAATTTGGAAAAAATCCAGCGAGTAAATTTAATCTTTAATTTATACTATCAAAGTTACCCGCATTATCAAAGATACCCCGTTTTGCGGTACCGTGTTATTATTATTCGTTTCGGTGACATTAGGTCATCCACACAGTTACTGTTTATGAGCAGTCTCACTAGCACTTGTGCTTTAAAGTTCCACCTTTGATTGACAGAGCCGCTGTTATCAGTGACGTTTGATATTTGTATGGGAGAAGGGTACAGTTGCCAGTCTTCTTGATTTGTAGTCTTCGCTTATATATAACATGTTTTCATATGTCATTTTAAGAAACATAGGCAACCATGAGTACACCTCATATATAACATATTCAATTCATATATTCTTTATATTTCCTTTGCTGAAAATTAGATGTTGGGGTTCGAAGCCTATCTCCACTCTATCAATCATACACTTAATACGATACTTTTAACTTTCGTAAAAATAAAATTTTTAGCAATTCATAATATTTGAACGGAACCCAAGAGGGAAATAATATTGTAGTCTCACGAAAATCGGTCAATTCCACCGATTTATCCCAGGAATATAACTCTTTCTGGTCCTGAGAAGAACCGATTGTTCAATCTTCACTACATTGTCCGATGCAAGAATGAGCTTCAGGCTGTGTTCCATTTGGTGAATTTTCACTTAAACTTGACAAATTTTCAAATAAACCTGCTATTCCAGCAGACTTATATCTGACAGACAAGGAATCAATTTTGACACACACCTTCTCGAAAATTGGCCGATCAACAACAGAGGGATTTTCGAACATTATAATTTAGTTTCGAAGTGTCAAATTTAAGTGAAAATTTACCAAATGGACCACAGCCTCAGTACGACATCGTTCTTCACTTCAAGCTCTTTCCACACCTGCCCAATATCATCCGGTCTCAGCGCATGCAAGAATGTTTAGCACGATGGAAGAGAGAGAGAGAGAGGAAGAAAATCCACCTGGTCGATTATGACGACTGATTTTGGGAAAAACAGTGAAAACAGTGATAATATTATCATCTGTACATTTTTCATAAGTTTTAATGAAAAATTGGAAAATTGATTTCACCAGATACGTAGAATAATTTTCAATCGATTAGCGTATTTGGATTTTGATTTCATCTATAAATAACAAAGCTACAAATGTTCAAAACCTAACCTATTTCACCAACCTTTTTTTTTAATTTGCGCCCTACCATAGCTTTTTTTTCTATCTCTAATTTGTTTTCCGTCGATCTTGTTTCCCGTACTGAGTACCAATGCTACCAAAACGCCAGAACCGCCGACCCTTGAATAAACTCATAGATCGGGGACCAACGGCTTTACTTCCTTTCCGAAGCAGGGCATGATCAGAAATTTTATACCTCAGAAAATCCCGGCGGCACCGACTGGGTTTAAACCCAGGCCTTTTGGGGTGAGAGGCAATCACGCTTACCACTACACCATCGGCGCCACTGGCATTTCTAACGTTGCTGAAAATTATCATAGCATCAGATTACGGGGCTGCTAGCGTATGGGAATGCTTTGTTGATTATTCATCAACACTTGATCGTTGGGAATGCTTGTGAATATTTATTTTAGACAAAAGGGTGAACAAAGAGATGAACGGCTAAGCATTTTCGTCTAACTCAAGCCTTTGTAGGGGTAAGCCGTGAGACCATCATCATGAAAATAGGTTCAACGAAATTCTTGGGATAATTTCAAGGTAACTCTGATAATAGCTTCAAGGGAAATCCTTGGTGTATTCAAAGATAATTCGATGGGAAATCTAAAATTCCAAGAAGAAATGCTATGGATCAAGTTTCATGAAGAGTTACAAAGAAAATATAAATTAATTTTTAAAGGTTTACCAAGAAATTTAAGCTAGATTTTGCAAGAACTTTGGTGTGAATTCCAAAAATTTGCATTTGATTAATATGAAGAAAATTTCTAGGGAATACCGTAGAAAAACTCAAGTTTATTTTACGGGAAATCGGAAAAGAACTATGAAGAAAATTTGGATGATTCTACGAAATCCAGAAATTTAACCTAACATTATAACGGACACATACTAAGTATTCAACATTCTGAAGTTATATTTAAAAATACATCATAAGATTTTGGAAGGAAAAAAATAAAAACTGATTCATCGGTGCCCAAGCGCAATAAATTAAAACAAATAGTTATTGACAAAGTCATTCACAAATCGTGATACGTAGGGCGTTTCTTTCAACCAACTCGATTTAGGCTTAAGTTGTTGACATTGTTTTATATCAAACTTGTTTACTAGATTTTTTTTTTTCTTTATCTCAATTTCTTATGTTCCATAACATATCTAACTGCTAAAACTATGTCAGTTTAATCACTTTACGCAAACAGCTGCAATCGTTTCCATGCATCCTACTAGTTCAGCACATGATCAGAACATTTCCAAGTGTTTCCTGTACATATAAGCACGCCCTTCCTTCGCCAAAGCTCTTCTGTTCTACATAAGACAAACTCCTGCACTGTCCATGACTTACTCATTCCCCTATCCAATGTGAGAAACATCTGACCAATTCTGGGAGAACGAATGATCGTCAGCTGTGAACTGATATTTTCGCTTACTAAATTAAATACAATACAAACTATACGTGAAAGTCTAGGCCGGAATCCAAATAACCTAACACGTGGACTGATGCTACCGTGCACTAGAAAATTTCACTATTGGCAAGAAAACTTAGGAACATTTTTGATGATTTGCAAAAATAATAAAAAGTATAGGAAACTAATCCAGCAGTATCTTTACCAGACAACCGACCAACCAACCAACGTTCGCGTTCACTCCTAGTAACATTCCTAAATGCTCGCTAATGCTAATCACAGAAACACATTCACACTTGCGACCCCTCCTTGTCCTGTCTTGTTTGTCTCTATTCTGTGTTATCGCCTAGCCTTCCGCTCTCTCACTCTCGTCTTCTCTCTTTCTATGTGCTGCTAGCATACTGATTCCGAACTGATAATATGCACCATTTGATTTTCGTTATCTGATGCGCTTATGGCTCTCTACTCCAGCTGTCCGAAGGTACTAATAATTTTCGAATATTTGGTTTTCACAGATTTTTGTAATGTTGCCTATAGTTGATTAGTTTCGCGATAGTTTAAGTATTGTTTTGTTGTTGTGTAAAACTGTGGGTTTTATGTGATTTGTTGTGTTGTCTTCTTCTTACTTATCGACTCAGACTTTCACAGATTTTTGGTAATATTGTTGAATATTCTCCTCCCCCACCAGGACTCCAGATCAAACGGTTTGAAGTCGACCAAAACCGGACTGGGCGGGTCGTTATAGTACAGGGTGGTCGTACTGCTATTCGAGCCGCTCGACGATACCGAGCTGGTACTGCAGGACGAAGAGAGGGAGGTGTTGGAACCTGAAAAATAATAGAAAACGATCAATATCGGCAGAATCTGATGAATGTCGGTATTCAAATTACTCATACTGTCAGGTGAACCCGGCACGTCGTAGGGGTTTGGCGCAACCGCCATGTTCCACGCTGAAAAAAAATAATAAAAAATTTGGTTACAGCGTTACTCCGTCACACATTCGATACACAATCACAGCGAAAAACAAAACAAGTGAAAACAAAATGTCGCAATTTAAAATTAGCACCCATGATTTACTTTGTTGTCGTCAGCGTGTCGCAGTTTGGTAAACACTTTTTGCTCACGTCTATCGGTACCATTTGAAGAAAAAAAAAGCGGAAGAAGTGAGGATGTAATAAGCCAGAGAGGAGATGATCTTCAAATGATCACGTTTCTTGAAGCAAAACGAGAAGGTCATTCGAGGACGGTTTCCTTTTTGTTTATTTGGGATTCATATTTGCAGTCAAAGAACCAAACATCATTCAGTTTATAATTTGAAAAGTTTCTTAAAAAATTAACATGTTTGGCAATCTATATAAGTATAATTTATGAAAGTATTGGGCTTCGAACTATCCATTTGGAGCAATTCCACGCCACATGACGAATCGTTCAGACTAGATCATCTTCGATTTGCATAGAACTTTGCATAATTGTTGGTTATGGCCAATCATTCACATGTTTGCTAAAATGCGGACATTTTAGATTTTGTATTTTTTTTAAATGCCGTCTATGATATTTTCCAATAAATTTTATTACAAAAACGTTCCTTCTGATCGAAATGACGTCTGAAACAAAGTTGTAGAAAGAAATAAAGTCATTATGGGAAAAATATACACGGTACACTTTTTTTGTTTATAATTATCAAGAGCTTTGAGTGGGATTTCCTTTAAATTCCGTTATGATTGCTTATCTTTTGACAGATACGCGTTTTTCGTCTACTACTTGCAGACTTCATCAGTGCCAAGTACTCAAAAACACCACACACTGAGTACTTGGCACTGATGAAGTCTGCACGTAGCAGACAAAATACGCGTATCTGTCAAAAGATAAGCAATTATAACGGAATTTAAAGGAAATAAACCAACCCACTCAAAGCACTTCATAAAGGGATTCCGTTAAGAGGTTCGACAAATTTAAAGAATTTATAATTATTGGTAAAAAAAATCAAAATTAAAGTTAAAACATAGATATCTCAAAATGCCCTTGTTCAATGTTAATAATTTAAAAAAAAAACTCATGAAAAACGCTAATTTTTTTGAATATTTGAAACCTTGGACATTTGACAAAAATCGTAGAATAACAACTAAACAGTTCAAGTCAAGTTTTTTAGCTATGCCTTTTTATGTTATTTTTAAGTTTTAAATTTTTCAAAAGTTTTTATATTTATCAGCTTTTTAAAAATAAAAGTTATTTAACAGCTTTTTAAAAAAAATTAACCACGACATTATGAGATATTTAAGTATTTGGCTCTTAATTGATGCTTTTCTTTGTCTTGCTTTGGATTGTCAAGTTGCTTCCGGCCTTCCCCTTGGAGCAAGAATTAAATCGGTGCCCCTGCATCTTACAGAACAAACACTTGTTTTTTATCCCGTCATAGAAAATGCTGGAACGACCGGTTGTAGACCGTGCACTCTCATGGTTTGAACACAGACAAACAGACATAACACATTGAATATTTCTCATCGTCGCTGAAACATTACCGCCATGTGTTGAGTACACTGTGGTGGGCACTACGCTGAACAGATGACGGTAGTGTTTAAACGTCAAACGCAAGGGAATTGACTATGTGCACCACAGGTGGCGGTACTACCATAGAGGTAACTCTAAGACCAGAAGGTCCCGAAGAAATGAGCTCAACTTTTTGGCTCAGCTCTGGTACTATCTTCGGTCCCAAGCTAATCGATTCACCCCTCGAAACATAGGAAAATCCACTAACCCCTCATTTTATCTGTCAAACTTTCATAGCGAATCACAACAAACATAGTGTAGTACTGGAATTTATACTAGAATGGGGTACGTTAGTCGATTTGCTTGGGACCAATAGGCTAGTCAAGTAGTGAGCCAATTTAAAATCGTTAGTTTCGTATTGATTGTTGGTACTACCAACTACGATACTTTTAAATTGTTGGTTAAATGCTTGTTCGATGAACAAATCCCGAGAGTTATGTCTGTTTGTCTGTGGTTTGAACATTATCGCCAAGCAAGCAAACTCCACTACCTTTTCATCAGTATACCGTGTACCCACGTCAATATGAACGACACTTCGTGCATATTATCGGGGTTCATTTTTAGTTTAAACTTCTAAATAGTAACCCTATGACCATCAGAAAAGGTGCAGCCTTATTTGCTGTTTTGTTTTGATTCGTCGTTCCAGTTTGCATCGTTCAATTAATCATATCGTCCGGCCATTTTCCACAGAAATGGTGCTGTTCCTCTGGTAGAAATTGATAAAAATCCCCATATAGAAATTGAGAGAAGTGGGAATAACTCGCTTTCGGTGCATATTCAGGCCAAAATAAGTGAACCTAAAAAAATTAGTCAAGGACATTGTCGTTTAATTTTCCCCGGAAATTATTGTTAAACAAGTTACAATTAAATAAAAATGATTTTCTCCATATAGTTTTACCTACTTTACTACCACTTCCCAGAGAGCCAAAATTCAAATTTGAGAGAGAAAATTCTCTCTCACGACCTCAATCTCTTAACATGTCATGTATTTTGATGACACTTGATTTGTGATTGCCCTTTCACAGATTACAAAATAGAGTACCTGTCACTACAAAATATAGAGGTGCCAATATATGCATTTAGTTTAACATAGTTGAATGTATAAATGTATAAAACAGGAGGGACTTCGAATATTATTCTAAATGCATATATAGAGGTACCAGACATGTTTTGCACTGCAGTGTCCTCTGTAAACAATTAATGGAAAACAGATTGTGTGTAGTTTCCGATTGATGTCACCGCAAACAACAGCAGTGACATCTGATGGAATATGAATGCAGAAGCTTGACAAAATGATTAATTTCGTTTTTCTCCATTCCATCTGCCAAATGACGTTTGATAAATGTTTAATTTGCTCGGCATGCATATTAGTGGCGTTCAAACTAAAAAGTGTTCAGATGACCAGGGGTCAACGGTAGTGGAAAATTAATTGCTCTGAGCTTTGCTTCAGGGCATGATGCATCCAGAGTTTTCAGAAAATGCAACCTAGCTCCAGGTGGACCTCGCAAAGCACATCGCGAAAAAACGTTAGACCGACGAAATCTGTTCGACTGAGAGCCAGCGCAAATTGCCTTCTATAGATAAGTGTTTCCGATCCAAGATATCGTAAGCCACAACTCGTTTTTTCAAGTTAAACATCTGGAAAGTGTTCTAATACCGTGACGACCTGAACAATCCTTCATGCATTTTAACGGGGTTCATTTCTAATTTGAAACTCTAGTAACAGTAACACTATGACCATCAGAAAAGCGAGTTTCTTCTTCTTCTTCTTTCTTTTATTTAACGTCGGTCTCTGTTCCGCAATCTAGTGCCAATCACCGACGGACATCGATTGCCATCCATTGACGGCAATTGAATGTGCAGGAAGGCAGCTTCCACACCTGCGTAGGATATCGCACCCATTCAAACACACATAGGCCGGGACCAACGCCTTAACTTCCCTTCCGAAGGAAGACGTGACCAGAGATTTTTAATGCCTCAGGAAAATCCCACCAATCTCGGCTGGGATTGAACCCAGACCGATTGGGGTGAGAAAGCAGTCACGCTTACCACTACACCACCGGCAAAAGCGAGTTTCTGGAAGCCTTAAAGGGCGAACACGAAATTAACAGCATAACTTTTTTACCATTGGGTAAAAATCAACCAAATTTTGCACACTTTCTCATTGATGTGTATTGTGTACATGCTTTCAAACTCGAAGTCGTGTTTTTCGATTCAACGAAAATGGAGATGAACCAACGCGAGTTGAGAGAACAAATTCTTTCCAAACACCTGGAATTTCCTGACCTGTCGCACCGGCAGTTGGGAAAAATGTTGAACATTCACCATTCAACCGTCTCCAGAGTGTTGAAGCGGTTCCAGGAGCGGTTGACGTTGAACCACGGCAAAGGAGCTGAAAGAAAACCGGGACCGGAGAACAAAAAGACGGAGGGAAAGGTGAAGCGGATGATTAAAGCAAATCCCAACGTCTCAAGCCGTGATTTGGCTAAAAAGATCGGCATGTCGCAGAGCTACTTCCAGAATGCAAAGAAGAGAGCTGGACTACATACATACAAGGTACAGAACTTCCCAAACCGCGATGAGCGGCAACAAACGACGGCTAAAACTCGGGCACGGAAGCTCTACGAGAAGATGCTGACAAAATATGGCTGCTGTGTGATGGACGACGAAACGTATATAAAAGCCGATTTTAAGCAAATTCCGGGGTTGGAGTTTTTCACCGGCAAGAGCAAGTTCGATGTGGACGACAAATTTAAGAAGAAGAAAATGTCGAAGTTCACCTCCAAATATCTCATTTGGCAGGCCATCTGCTCTTGCGAACTGAGGAGTGAGCCTTTCGTGACAAAGGGCACAGTAAATCGCGAGATCTACAAATCTGAGTGCCTCGAGAAACGCCTTTTGCCGTTCTAGCAGCAGCACGACGAAGCTCCGCTATTTTGGCCAGATTTGGCATCATGCCACTATTCTAAAAGTGTCCTGGAGTGGTATGAGGCCAATTCTGTCCATTTTGTTCCAAAGGACATGAATCCGCCAAACTGTCCGGAGCTGCGCCCGGTGGAGCTGGGCAATAATGAAGCGGAAACTTCGGAAGAGCAAGAAGACAGTCAAAGACGAGAAGGACATGTTAAGAAAATGGAAAACAAAAAACTGAGAAACTGGTACCGGATGACACTGTAAAGACTTTGATGGAGGGCATCAAGCCTAAATGTGTTCAATTTTACACTCAAGGCTCCATCGATTAACTTTTCTTTTGATTTTTGAAGTAAATATATGTATAAAACTATCCTAAATTGGCATGACATTTTCGGTGTCGCAATAATTTCGTGTTCACCCTTTATTTCTAGATAGAGCTGGAATTAGGGCCTAACAGCTTTTGTTAACAATGACTTCTATCGATGATTCCTAGAAATTCAAGGCTCACACACGCAAAACAACATCCTCATCAGGTGGGGAAAGACTTCCCCTATCCGATGGATATGTTGGTCTGCGTGGGCGTGCCTTGAGTTCCTAGAAATCATCGATAGAAGTCATTGTTTACAAAAGCTTTTTCGCCTTAATTCCAGCTCTATCTAGATTTGCTGTTTTGTTTTGATTCTGCGTTCCATTTCGTTTTTTTTTTTCATCCCATGTGCTAAATGACGTGTGAGCAGTTTTTAATTTGCACGGCGTGCAGATTAACGGGGTTCAAACTAAAAAGTGTTCATATTAAAAACGGTCAAATTGCCGGGGGTATCAAGTCTAAAACTTTCTTGTACGAGGATTCAAATTTACATTTCTTCTCAAAATTTATCTGATGAAATCTTGGAATTTCCAAGCAATCGATTCGAAATTTTCATGAAACTATCCTGAAAACTCTATTACCTTGGATAATTAATCGGAACTCGTTTGGAATGCTCTTCATAATTTCCCTGAAGGGCTACTCAGAATTTCTTTGAATATATCCTCAGAATTCTCCTTGAAATATCTTGATAATTTCTTAGAATCCTTTCTGATGTTCCTTGAAATTTTCTAAAAATTTGTAAAAAAAAAAATATCATGAGTATTCCCTGGAAACTAATGCTCATTAGCATTACTTTATTATTCAGCAATCTTTTTTTTTGTTCAATCCACAAAATTCTCTATTTACTTATTACCTTATAATCATTAGGGTATTCTCTTGGAGCTCTCTTCATAAATGAATGATCAATATTTAACCCAAGTAACACAAATTCATAGAATTAGGTTGAGTAAACTGCTATACAACCAAAACCAGTCATACAAAGGTTATATAAACTGTTGTAGAACGTGTTTGTTGCTTGAAAAGTGCTGTTCATAAAATTCCCAGACTGTGGGTAGAAGGTTTGACGGGTAGTCAAAAGCTTTCCATGGATATTTCAACATTTTTTTCCAAATATTGTAGAAGCGATAACAGATAAAATATTTGGTAGACCAGTTCTTTTAACATAAAAGCCAGTACGTAGTCCATTTTATTTTATCAAAAAAGGTTCTTATTCTGTGAAAATAAAAAAAAATCTCATAGCTTTTTCACAACTTGTTAGTCAATTTCCCTCCCATTGCATCATTGAAATGCTGTTCCAAATTTACAATGATACGTGAAAGTCAATGCAATGTTAAAGTCCACCCATCTTCCTTTTCATGATGAACCACGACAATGACGCATGTCTGTAAGAATCGCATATTCACTTTCTCTGAGAAGCGGCAGCAGTTCAATCAAAAACAATAAACAGCCAACGAACGAACAAGTGTGTATAGCGAAGTGCAAGAGTTTCACTTTGAATATCAGGAAGGACACCGTCGTCCGCCATTGTAAGACACGGCAGTAAACAAACAGAACAGTAATATACTCATCACAATCATTCGACACAAGGAGATCAGTCAGTAGCACATCTATGAATACTCACAGTCATTGATATATTTTATCAGCTCTTCATGCTGTGGACTCAGGTTCTCAGGCTCTGATTGCTGCTGCTGGTGCTGCTGTGCTCGCAAATACTGTGCCGACGACTTCTTCGTAGTCTGAAACACCGGCCGGGGTATGCTGGATAAAATGAAGGAATAAGATAACAGCAATTATTATCACTTTCTATCACACTCAATTGTTAGCATATGCGATGAACTAGCCGTCGGCTAAAAATAAGAAAGTAATAAAAACAAAACAAAATTTTATACTAACATTAGCAGAATAACGAAACATCAGTATAAACTTAGAAACGGTATAGCTTAAGACAGCAGACTTCCTGTTCGAAGACAGTTTAAAATAAGCACATCAATCATTTTCTAACCGTGTTCTAGTCAAACCAAGTGCCACAACATCCGTAGCAGAAAAAGGGCAAGACAAGGCAAGCTAGTTATGTAAATTATCTCTTATCTCATCTTACAAACACACAGACCCAAACATATATGTACGCACACGTGATCGAGGCATCCCCCACGCTACTGTCCCTATACCTATAGATTGAAGTTTCTTTTTACAGCAACATGACTCTTGAAGCAATCGGAAAGCACATAAGTTACCAAGTCAACAACTCGTCAAAGAAATAGAAATGTCCAAAATAGATCGTGTTACATTCTATTTCGTTGTTATACGAACGACTTTAGGCGAAGATCAAGACCAATGCTGGTGATGTGATTTTTCTAGAAAGCAAAATCCTATTTTATTGAAACTGGGTCTAATCTAAACAATGATGTTGATCAATCATCAACATTGATTGTTTACCGGTAGAAAACGTGATGCGAAAACAATCAGCTGAACTATACAATGTAGACAAACAACAAGCACAACCCCTAACCTAGCGCATGATCTTGAAAACATTTCTGTCATTTCCCATCAGTAGTTCAGCTTGCAAATCGCGGACGCCAATCAGCAATACACGCCTTAGCAAAGTGAATAGTCTAGATAGTGTTATCGGTGCAAACCTTCTCACCAAACCAAGTCACGTCAAATGCTAAGCGATGGAAATTTTACCACGGCTTGACCTGCTCGTGATAATTGATTTAGCACCTTGGTGCAAGATGAAAACCCCATCTGAGTCAACCTGTATCCCTACATTAAACACTATCTATGGGTCTATTTGAGCTTGAGTAAATCACAAGCTCATCCTACTCTCCATTGATTACGAAACGAGCCGGCTTGCGGGAGGCACGCAGTATATTGAACTCTTCAGCCGTCTCGACTCGGCTAGCAGTTCATCCGCCACGCTCCGTTAGTCACCACCGCTCTCACCATTTTCCGCACACATTGCATAACACTGACAACATGAGCCAAAATATCGTCTCGTGCACTATCAAGAACATACTTTCATTTAACCCCTCCCCTCCACGGCATATCATCGCATTGCTGCATATCCCCTCCCTCGGCAACACACCAAATTAGAACTGCATCCATAAGCACGTTTTAAGGTTAGAAAGTTGTTATGTAAACTCTTCTACCCATCAGCGACTCACCTCACTTCACTGGCCATATCACAGTCACCGTTACTCTTCTTGCCCAAATCACGCATCAGCTCGAATTTTTCATAATTCTGTGGAATACCTGTGTAGGACAATCAAAAGGACAAATCCCGAAATTAGTTCACTTCCTCAAACAAACAAATAAACAAAAAAAAATCACATCACAGTTCGAATTCTTCCGGTCACGAGAAAAATCGATTGCACAACATTTTGCTCTATGTCCGTCAGATGATGCCCTCGTCCCTCGCGTTTATAAACCAAATAGGCCGCGTTATTACCTCGTCGCGTTTTTGCCACCAGCTTGCTGGGTCCTTTGGACACGGTATACATGCTCTTCGCGGAGGAATCGGTCAACTACAGGGAACTATGTCAATCCACGGAAGCGACCGACAGACTAATCGTCATATATCAGAGTCTCCGCTTGTATGTATCAGGAAAGGCAAATCGAAACTTAATCAACCAGCTCAGGAGTGCGACTACCGTGCTGTGATCTACTACCGAGAACCGAAACACTCCGCAAGCATTGGGACAATGAATTCAAATTCTCACCCGCTCTTGTGCTCTCTCCCTAGAAACGCGACGCCGGAGTGGAAAGCATGTTGATGAACATGATATGGTACTGCGATTCATGCGGTGAAGATGGTGGTTTCATTCGTGGTGAATTCTGAATCAAAACAAACCGTACACGCAAAACTGTGATTATATTTCGTCATATGGCGAAATATATTCTCATTGCTGCGGTAGGCTTCTTCAGTTGGAAAATTTAACGACCCATCATTTACTATGCAAATTCACTTACACCTGAAAGTAGACTACGTGCCAAATATACTAAAATAACAATATAGTTCACTATTCGATTTTGCATAATCACGCAGGGGTCGGAAACTTCCTGCTCGACACAAAACCTATTATCAGAAAAGGCAACAGTCGAGGAGTGAGTGAGTTGCGATTATTACACATGAAAAGTATAATTTAATTACACTAATTACAATCAGGGAAACACGAAAATAATTGGCTTCCCTAATAAAAATAACCATAAAAGAGAGCTTAACGACGTGTTCGGGGTATCATCCAAACCATTTGTGGGATAGTTTACCCACCCGGGACACAGTTCGTTTATGGTATTTGTTTATTAGGATTCTTTAAGGGTATTGAGGTAAATGCATATTCGTAATCTGCATTAAAAATGGAACCCAAACCCAAAATATCATCAATTTTGGTACACTGGAACTATTTTAAATAAGTACGATTACATTTGCAAAAATCACCTTATTAGCGCCCCTCAGTGTCATTTTGTATGGGAGCAAGCTGTCAGTTTATTGGTTTAGTGTCAAACAGTGAAGTTTTTTTTTCGTTTAAATCTTGATTTAAAAATCGAGATGAAAGTGTGTGAGTTCGAAAAAAAAATATCGTTGTGCTCAGAAAACAAAGCTCTTTCAGAATATATAGGGGAAATGGATGCAATGTCGGCGTAAATGCCACTAATTTGGGTCCATACATAAATTCAGCAATCGACTCAATTTTCAAAAGCCACCCAAAATATCTATTAGTACCGTTCCAATGACGCGTTCATCTAGATAAAATTGATAAATATCAGATTTTTATCGAATAGATTAGGCCAATATTAGCGCCATTTCCCCTATAAAAAACGATATATTTTTTCAAAATTAAAGATCCCAATTGTTTAGACAAGTTTTGATTCAAATCTCTGTTGTAGCTTTGAAGCATCCCTCGAAATGTGTATAGAATACATTAGTTGCCTACTCTGACACAAAGGCGCCGATTGTTGGCCGATAATCGTATCTCCGAAAAAAAAAAACAATATTATTAACTAAGGACTGTATCGAAAATAAATTATAAAGAAAATGTTCATTCCAAATCCATAAAACAATGTTTTTAACTTAGACTATATGTTTTAGTATTACTTCTACGTGAAGTCAACGATTTACATAGTTCAAGATGCTTATTTCAAATAACAGACTGTAGTGGTAATTTTTATACGATAGATGGAGTAGATGAAAGCATAGAGTTGATAGTTCCGTTAGAGTACGGCAGTGTGAAGATTGCATATAGATGTTAGAACAGCGAGCTAGGACAACTTTTATGGAAGGTACAAATCGGTTTAACTTTGAGGAAGATACGAATCGGAAGTTTAATCGTAATCTCCCCTCGTTTAATTTTAAGCTTTATCTGGCATAAGCCACGAGCTAGTATCAAGGTTACAAATACTCATTTCAGCTAAAACAATGTTTTTCTAAATTATGAAATAATTAGATGCCATGATCAAATTTTGAATTGGTAGGATACAAGAAGAGGTTGCAAAGAATGTGTTTGACATATTAAACCTGTTTATTTCACTTCATGAGAGTCACAATCAGCGATTTTTCACAAATTCACTCACTCACTCACTCACTCACTCAGCGATCAGAAAATCGCTGATTGTGACTCATAGAAAGCAAAAATTACTGGTTTTATGTTTCAAACGCATACTTTGTTACCTCTTTTTGTAAGTTATAAGTAAAACATGCCATCATACCATCTTTTGGTTTTATTATTCCGAAAAACATTATTTTAGCTGAAATGAGTATTTGCAACCTTTGCTAGTATGCAACACTACAGGTTTATTGATGATAATATGGATGATGATATGAAACTACCACTCACTATAGCAAGACAACTATCGGTACACGCAAACCAAAAATCTATTACAATGAATGTTAGTTTCGTTTCCTATCATCCTCTGTTCATGAACATCGCAACGAATGTTAGAAATTGACCATGCAGGCGATGTAATGGTTTTGTGTCTTTTTTTATTTCGTGTTCCATCTACGCTTTCGACTATACCAGTAAGCTTGTAGAACGACGTACATTGTAGAACATTGTAGAACGACGCACACACTTGTCTCGAATCTCTCCAGCAGAAAAAGCATACGAAGTCGAGCATTTTTATTTCGTGTTGCATCTACGCTTTCGACTATAGGTACCAGTAAGCTTGTAGAACGACGCACATCGTAGAACATTGTAGAACGACGCACACACTTATCTCGAATCTCGAGCATGCGAGAAAATGAGCGCTTCATGTTTGCTTTTAAGCTAACCATATTCAGAAGCATGGAGAAAGCAGTGGAGAAAGCACAGGTCTGATAGTCGCAACGTCCGTGGTTCGAGTCCAGTCGCCAACCTTTTTTCTATTTTTTTCGACATAATTAATTTCACTCACTAATACAACTCCACATTTTTCGGTCTCCAATTTTCTTACATCGGACCGCAGCTAGGTATATCGCATCCTCGGTTCATGCGGTCTCCACTTACATCCTCTGATGATGAATCCCACATAATTGTAAGCGAATCTTACATCCACCGGTTGGGTGTAGACTGTGGGCTATCCTCGTGCTGTTCGTCTTGATCAAGCTTAATAACCTCTCATTGTATTCAACCTACCATTGTATGAAGGGCCAAAAACGGTTTTGGTGAATCCGTGGGTAACATCACCAACGTGCATCCACAGGATAAGTGAGATTCTCCTTCCAAGAACAGGATCAGACAACCGGTCAAAAAATAGGCCATCCAACAGGACGATGTCCCAACGAGTGGGGTGAAGAGGCCGCCCTCTATTCACGAAATGTTAAAAACAGGGAGTTGGCATTTCAACAATCCACATCAATTTCGCTTCAATCGGGTGCCCTGGTGGATCCTCCCGTACCCAGCATTTAATGTCTCATATAATAATGGAATGAAAGTTAAGAGAAAAATAAAGGAAAGATCTCACCCGATATTTTGCAAAGGAATCCATGACATCACAATGATTTTGAAGAGCCTCCATGGATATGCTGCCTTCGTTCGTCACACAGCAGCGGAGATTTCCAAAAAACCACTAAACACACTGTAACTGCTCCGACTAGAGGGATCTCAGCAGAGAAAAAAAGGACTCGCAACCAACGCCGAAATCAGAACCAAAAACTCCAGCGACTTAAAACAAAATCCATGGAACACTATTGGTTAATTGCGCTAGCACCATCTTACACCATATATCGCTGAAATTTACAAATCCTGATAAGGATTGTTCAGTTTATAAAACGGACACGCACTTGCAGTAACAATTTTTTTGTTTATCCACTCCCGACCAACCGTTCGATAAACAAATTTTTGTACACTTTTCTATTTTCCTAAAGTTATTGAAAAAATATATATAAAATCCAAAAAAAAATCAGATTCGTTAGATTTATGAATAAAAAATATAAAAATATTTTATCTACCACATCATGAAAAAAGTTGAACTCTAAGCAAAACCTAAAGGCCTATTTGAATAAAAATAATGCGGTTTATTGCGGTGTGCCATGATGGCATAGAAAAATGTTTTAATATGTTATGGGTGCTAGTTATGACATTTGTGCTCCAGTTTTTGAAATAAATTTTCATTTTCTATCGAAATAAATTTAGTAACCTATAAATTTAAGATAGGGCCTTTTAGAGGACCAACAACTGGCACACTATCCCAACGGAAGAAAAAACTGTTCTTTTTTATTTTTGGTATTTTTTTATATTTTTAGAAAAATCAAAACGCAATGTTTTCCGGAGCGGTAAGCTTCCCTTTAAATTTATGACAGTAATTCTTTGCATCAATGTTCTATAAAATGGTTTAGATTTCTATACATTATTTTAAAACCTTTATTGATCGATACCCACATTTAAGCAAATTTTTCTATCGGTCTATAATCTATAAAGGTGCCATACTAACTTTCAATTTTTTGAAGTGGTTAAGACTAGGGTTCTGATGCATGGGTATTATCGGTGTCAAACCTTAATTTTGTTGCTAAGGAATCCAATTTTGACTGACAAAGGGGTGCGCCTTTGAAGAATGTTTCAACACTCCGAAGGGTATAAATAGCGGGACCTTTCAATTAGAGTCGGATCCTTGCGATAAATGCAAGAGTGGCAACTGTAAAAAAAATCGAATACTTCATCATTTCTCAATAGTGATGGAGTAATACGACATGCACTAAACTTAGGACACGGGATATACTACAATAGATCAAATTACTGGTCGCAGTAGTGTTAGGTCCCAATCAGAGGAAAAAAAAAACTTTCAATTAATTTCGATATTTCTACTCTTCAATATCCTATACATAACAAGGGTACAGAAACTTACTGTTCGACACGTCACCTAATGTCAGAAAAGGCAACCAACCTATGTAACAAGTACGCTTTTGCATTTATTTATTTAATTATTTATTTGCACAGAATTCCTATTTATACAATTTTCCACATTTAATTATATTGCATTAACTTTCGTTTTTCAAATCAATCCATAAATTTGTTCACCGCCAAGGAACGAACATCCACTTACGTAGAGTTACACTTGTCATACAAAAAAAAAAGTAATGAGTTCCCTACGTTCAGATTGAAGCGCAAATTCAAATATTATAAAGCCTGTCGAGCTTGCCGACGCTACGAAGTTACAGCGTCGTAAGGTGGACATCGACCCGCCAGATTTCCATTGAA